GTTGAGTAGAATCTGTGGAGCCCCTAGGAGCGCGAAAGCTGTCGAATCGCTCCTTTATGAAGAAGTTGCTGGATTTCATCAATGAGAACCGATAAGTAAGGCGTAAATCAGATCAGTCCCCAGTGGGGGCACGGTATCGAACTCAATTCTGTATCCATGCTGTATGATGTATAAAAACCCACTGATCAGACTCCCAGATGGGGAGTTGACTTTGCAGCCGATCCCCAAAGGGAAGAGGAGAAGGTGGGTTGAGGAGAGGTTTACTCGTCCCGTCAACGTTGATGTTTGGCGGAGTCGGGACGATGACAGTTCTGTTGGAAGCACTGTTGTTGTTGCTTCTGACACTGTTGCTGGGGCTGGAACTGCTGATGGCCTGCAAACTGCGAGTACGGCTGGTATCTGTAGGACGGGCGAGACCAAGACCACTTACGGCGCGATTGATTCCGGACTTCCATTCGGCGGGCTGTAACCCTTGACTCATGGATGGTCTTCATCTTGTGATCCGTCCCCGCGTTGAAGAGCCCTGAACTGTCGAAGGGCATCTCTTCAATCCGGCGTTTCATCTCGTTCGGAAAGTTGCCAGAGCCATGCATGACGACGGAGGGCTACGGCACCAATAAGAGCTTTAGAGTCGGAATCGACATGGTGTCTCGCCACGGAAAGCTGCTGGACTGCCACCTGCACAGCCTCTTTAATGAAGATTCTATCCAGGTTTTTCTGCTTAATAAAGTATTGGTATCGAGCCAGCGTGGCCTCATAATTGGAAATGCAGAGGCCAAGTCTTGTAGCGGCACAGATCCGGTGAGCCAACATGTTGATCTTGCGGCCCTCTTTTTTGCGGGGTGTAGTGTGTCCCCTCGACTCGCATCCCTGGGATGACCCAACAACTATCGAGTTTGGTCTCGGATGACGCAGGAGGAATGGAATATCCTGCTTACGGACTCAATACATGGCCTCGTATCGTCGCAAAGTGGGTTGAGGCTGATTAGGATAGTTCCACGGTTCCATCATTGCCTGGCAAAGAGTGGTAATAAGTGGCAAAAAGGTGGCGGCCGACTGTTCACCTTCGACAATGTTGTAAAAATTTGTCAGTATTGGGATCAAAGCGGTGCTGGGCCTTGATCTCAAGTGATCTCATAAGCCTTGTCATCAGTTCCCCAACGTTTACATAGGGTTCCTCCAGTGACCTGGGACCCTGTGTAGATTTTTTTTTTTTTTTTTTTTTAGATTTATATCCTGCCTTTTTCCTACAAAGGGCTCAAGGCAGCTTACATCCTCCTCCTCCTCCACCTTATCTCCACAACTACAGCCCTGTGAGGGAGGTTGGGCTGAGAGTCTGTGACTGGCCCAAAGTCACCCAGTTGGCTCCACGGCTGAGTGGGGACTAGAACCCAGATCACCTGAGTCCCAGTCCCATGCTCTTCACCACCACGCCACACTGGCTCTCACTGCATCTGGTGAAGTCGATGCCACTTCGGAGTCCCCCAAGTCCGAATAGTAATGAGGTGGGAGACTAGAAGAAGAATCGATAGGCGAAGTAGGACGCCTGGACTGAGTCGTTCTCGAGACTGAAGGAGCATCTCTTGGTATCGGAGAGAGGGTACGATCGCACACCAACGGGTAGTAACTGTAGGGCCCATGGCTCGCGATGAGACAGCCTATGGGGCAGCTGCACCCATTCTTCCAAGGGATGGACAGAGGTGCGCTGCTGATACCACTCCTGCTGAGCAGCAGCCCTCGGGAAAGGCTCGGGTGATGGTTGTGGAGTAAGTGAACAAGCCATTGGAGGAGAGCCTCGAATCTCTCCGTCGGGGATTGATCCCAACAAGGAAATGTCCCATTGCTCATGGGAGGACTGGACCGAAGGTGTGATCAGGAGACCCAGGCAGGGTCACTTGCATGGCGAACTGGAGGGCTGGTCCGGTCGGCGTCAGTACCGAGACAGCCGTCGGGATTGACGGGGTGGATGAACCCGATCACGGTGCCTGTGATGATCAGGTTTCTTAGGCTTACGAGCCGACTTCTCCGTCTTGTCCTTCTTAGGCTTCTTAAGGCCTGAAGACTCGCTGGATCCGCTATGCTTCCTCTTCTCTGTTTGTTTGTGCAGAGATGAAGAGGAGCATTGTGCCTCCGGCACCATCAGCCGATGGGCAGGGCCGAGGTGTGGTGGAAGCGGAGGACGGAGGAACAGATTTGCCTGCCAGTTGGTCAGATTGGAGCAGGGCTTGGTCCCACAAGAGTGTGCGCGGGCAATTCTCTCAATTTTTCCTCGCCTGCTTGGCAATGGGAACATTTTGGACCCACACTGAGAGTACTTGCAGAAAAGTCCCACGCTGTGCCATCGAGGAAGAGCGAGATGATAGCAAAGTAGATAGAAAGAGGAGTAATTTTTTTTTATTTTTTGAACAGGGAAAAGGGGGAAATTGAGAAGAAAACTTCTAACAGGGAGGGACAAACTTGAATAAACATATACAAACTGAGAGACGAAAGGCTCGAGGCACAGCGAACGGCAGTCACAAGAAGACTGAGGAAATAGCGGACACTCCGCCCTTTTATACCATGGGGGGGTGCGGAGTTCCTCCCAGAACCGTTAAGCTTTTGACTCTTTCCGGCCAGAGGCACTGCGCAGGTGCAACACCCATATGTGTGATGCACAGAGGCCACGACGAAGAACTAAGAGCTGTTAACTCGACCATCGTTCACAAAGCACAGGAGAATGTGCGGCTCTGTGCTATTCCTGCGCCACAACACAGTGAGAACTGTGGCCACTGAGGGAGCAGCTCCCGGATGAAGTTCTGGAGAACCTTGCTGTGAAAACAGGCTTGGATGGCGCCCGTGGGCCAGGGCCTTCCTCTTGCCTCCTGGCAGGGTCAGTAACGCACAACAGAGGAAAGCTGGGGCCTGGTGGATGTGGCCAACAGTGACAACAGCGGCGCTGGCAGCCAAGCCATGAGGCTGCAAGGAACTTGCGAGGGAGTCCGGCTCCCTTCCACAGTGGAACGCCTTTGGGGTCATCTTTCTTTTTCTCACCAGCCCTGCTGCACTTGCGCTTTCACTGGTGGTTGCCGTCCTCGTGCAGCGAACAAAACGTTAAAAAGAGATACCACACACTAGAATCTGTGAGGACATTTCCTGCTGAATAGCCGTGGGCATGAAAGACAGACAAGCTAGAGAAGAACTTCTATGGATTAATGATTTAAGAACATTTCTGGGTGATATAGATTTCTCCATTATTCGACCCCTGCAACATAATCCTGCTAAAACTCCCAAAATGGTACACCTAAAGCTCAGATAATTTGAAATCTGCCCCCCAGCCTGGACCCATTCTGCCATGGCTCTCGTGCCCTTTGATTTCTAACCCACCATTCCAGCTACAAAATGGTGCTCAAGACTGACTAGAAATACAGTAAAGCCCAACCCACCTGGGAAGTGCTGAAATATTAATTTAGGCTGCCTTTTGGTGGCCTGGTATGGGGGAAGATGTTGTTTAATCACTGCAACTGAGGAATTTGAAACGAGAAACACAGAACATAGAAACCGAGCAAGTAAAAAGGGGCCTCCCAGACCATCTAGTTCGACCCCCCAGCCCCAGCCGGCTCCGGGCACGACATGCCTACCTAGCAATTAACACCCTGCCGCTTGCCCAAGATCCGGAAATGCAGTGGACCATACATTTCATAAAAATAGTTAATGAATGCATGGCACACTTTTGCAGAGCTGGAGATGAGGCTGCTGTCCTTTAGAATTTGATAAGGCTGGCTGCATTTCTAGCTGAAGGCAGCAGGCAAAAAACGGGACAACAATTAAGGCGGTCAAGGGACAATTAAGGGAGCAGGCGCACCTCCTTCCTTAGGATCTGCGGGAGAGGCCCCGCTCCGGGAACCCTCCCTGGAGGAGGTAAAAAGGACATCTACTCAGAGCAGGGCCTTCTCTGCGGTGGCGCCCAGATTGTGGAATGTGCTCCCCACAAAGGGGTTCGCCTGGTGCTGAGCCCATATTCTTTTCAGCACCAGGTCACAACCTTTTAAGCGTTATTTTAAATATTAGCATTTTAATGGTTTACAGTCACTTGTGATTTATTTTTATGTTTATTGAATTGTTGTATCGTTGTGTTGATGGTTTTTACTGGATTTTGATTTTAATGTTGTAAGTCGTCCTGAGATGTCATGAAGGACAGCATATAAATGTTTTAATTAAAATAAATAAATAAGGTTCATAAACGCCACCAGGAAAAATAACTCCCTGGCCCAGAACTAAATAACTATATTCTCAAGGTGCCAAGAAGTCCTGGATTTGTTTTCCAGCTCTACCAAATAGATTGCCAATTCAGGGAGCTAATTTAGTTCCCTTAACAAAATTATTGTAATACTAAAGGATTTATCCCTTTCTTTGGCTCAGAGATCCAAAGTGATTTACACTAAAGGAATACATTATGGTTAAAATATAACCTCATAATTATTTCAAAATAGTGATGCAAAAACTGTACAAACTACGCTAGTCTTGAAGACAGCAATGGCTAAAAAGCCACACCGGAAGTTCCACACTGGGCGCCTGCTGAAGTAAAAAATGGTCAGGGAGGACGCGGGAAGGAGCACCGCTGCTTTTGCACAGACCTGCCCAGTGGCCTGAGCCTGGAGGTACAGAGGACCGAGGCCCCACAGGTCACCTTAAAAGCCAGATCTGTCAGGAGCAGATGACAAGCTCAGGGCCCCAAAGGCTAACATCTTCACCTGGACAAGGACATCCAAGGTCAATCCAGCCAGCCCGGATGAGTGTCCACAGACTCACGAGGCACGCTGGTCTTCCCAACAGTTGAGCGTGGTTTGCATTTGAATTCACAGACTGGTCACGGGGTGGCCGGGAGGCCGTGTGGCCAGCCCAAGCACACACCCCACGCAAGGGTCCCTTTGGGGGTGACAACATTCTTGTGGGCAGCGCTGAAGAGACAAATGCTGAGGCCCCTCACCATATTGCATCTGGCGTACGTAAGGCAGAGTTACCTGGTGTATCTGACAGTGGAAGAGGAATGAAAGGATCAGGAACAGCCAGATGTGGAGGGCTGGAGTCCAGGATATCTTTTGTTTTTTCAGCTGGATAGGCAGCATGGGATACGGAGGAAAGAAAGGAAGGGGCGGGGAGGGAGGAAAACCAAGAAGTCAAGCAGAGCACAGGAAGATTCCAAACAGACCAAAAATGCAGTGAAAAAGAGATGAGTTGTATTTGCTTTCTCGCCCAGCAAGTTTCAGCTACTTTTGGCCCAAGTGACAAAAATGTCTGAAAGAGCCACAAAAGAAAGTTACTGGCAAGTTTGTTCAGGGGAACACATGACCTCTGGCCGAGCCAAAGCAAGGATGCTTCTTCCAAGGGCATCGGGCCATGCAGACGACTCCAACCTCAACATTTAGCGTTATGAAGATTAATTCAAGAGACACAAAGCACTGGGGAAAAGGCCCACGTTACATGGAAGTAAATTCCCCCACCGAGTATCATAAGGGTAAAACCTGAGATTCAAGCCACACCATTATTATGATGATTGTTAAATATTATTTTGGGACAGCTCTCCATAAAGCTTCACAGCAGCTTATAAAACAGAATTAAAACAATAAATCAGATAGAATCAAATGAACAGAACCATTTCCATAAACAACAAGAGAACTGGCACAATTAACAGGGTGAGCAGCATCAGAAATTGGACGCTCTCTGAAAATACAAAAAGGAAAAGGGACTTCGGCAGTCTCCAAAAAAACAGCGGGGGGAGAAGCTGTACGAAGCTCTTTTGGACAAGCGTTCCCAGGCATTGGCGCTGCTCCTTGGAAAGCCCCCTCTGTCCTTCCTGAGATTGAACCCAGAGAAGCACAATCTCAGAAAAACTTCACTGCTGGGGGAAAAGGCAGGGTTGTAGGAAAGTGTCTTAAATTCAGATAATTTCACTCTTAAATATAGGGCTCGAAAAGGTAAAATCTCCTCAAAAAATTGTCCCGGAAGCAAACCAGCACCTTGGGTGACTACTTCAGGATGGGGCAGTTGGGAAGGTCCAATCAGAGCTCTCAACAGGAGGTGGCCACATTCTGTACTAGCTCACGCTTCCAAACAGTTTTGAAGGCAGCTGCCCCACACGGCAAGAATCAGAAAGACACTGAGCATCGGTTTCCGCTCTCTTAGGGGGCTGGAGCTCCTTGGCCCCTCTCCACTCCACTCTATGGCTCCAGGCGCAGAGCCAGACAGCAGACCACCCAAAACTCCTGGCAGCATCCTGGACCGCAACCACCCGCGAAGAACGCTTGGCGGTGCCTGCCACCCAAGAATCCAATGCCTGGACACACTGACTCTCAGTCATCCCTACAGCAACCTGCGAGGCAACATCGTCTCTGTGCTGCCGCCAGAGGCTGCCGTGAGATGTTTCCAGCTGAGACCTGGGTTTGCTTCCTCCCATGTTGTTCCAGCAATATGGAATTTGGGTTTTTTCTGGAAATTGGAAAAGCAGGCTCTTTCAGGACTTCCCCTTCTGCTGCTTGCCCTCTCCACCCTAATGGCTACGGAGAGACGCACACGCACACCCTCGCCTCGTCCAGTGCAGATTCAGCCTGAAGAAAGGTGACTGATCCGCTGCAAAGGTCACCCGACTTGGGCAGAGGAGCTGGTCCACCCGGCAGGCATACCTGGCACCGGCGCAAGGGAAGGCGATCCGAACGCATCTGCCTGTGCTGCAGAAGGTGCTGCCTGAAAACCTGGGATCAGATTCTCTGAACTTCCAAGCTTCTCAGGAGGTTTACCTGAAATTTCAAGAACCCGGTTATCCAATGCAGTTAAGCACAGCCTGATTTAATATCATTTATTTATTTAATGATTGGGTTTATAGCCAACCTTTTTTCAAAGATCTCAAACCTGCTTATCTCATTCTCTTCCTCCTGCTCCAACACTTATCCCCACAACAACAACCCGGTGAGGTAGGCTGGGCCAAGAGTCTTTGACTGGTCCAAAGTCACCCAGTAAGCTCCATGGCTTAGCAGGGACTAGAACCGGATCACCTGAGTCTCAGTCCCATGTTCGTAACCACGACACTGCACTGGCTCGCTGAATAATGGAATTCGCTCCCCAGAGAGGTATGCCTGGCGCCGTCATTCTTTGTTTTTCGGCGCCAGGCCTTTTTATTTAAACATTATTTTAATTGTTGATTGTATTTATTGATTTTATATCTGTGCCAAGATGTTTCCAGATTTTTAAGGTAATTGTATGATTGTTTATCTGTTTTGGCAGCTGTCCCGAAGCTTTTTGCGAATGGGGTGGCATATAAATGTTCCAAATAAATAAATAAAATAAAAATTAGCTTATTCCAGAAATTGTTCCGATCCCCTTATTCACTACAAGCCAAAACTATGCCGGATCTCCCAGCAACAGCACTTTAGGTCAGCCCCAAACCAGGGAGAAGCCCATGCTGTTCCTCTGCGTGTCTCGCAGACTCCAGTGGGCTCCATCAACAGCCCGCAGTGGTGTCCAGAGTTACTTTGACATCCTGCCACTCGAATTGCCTGTCAGACGCAAAGGACTCTCGACAGAGGGCAGCCCGCAGCCACACCGGACTGTTCCCTGGTGTTTCCAGCAGGCCGTGAAGAGAGAACGCGCTAACCAGCCCTCGCCTCTAACCCACCAAGACAATTCCCGCACTCCTGATCCAGGCTCTCCGAGACACCTGTCGGCGCGCGGACGGGCCACGCTGTCTGCACTCCAGTCCACTCTGCAGTGAGGAGCCGCCTGGGCTGCTCGCCAGCCCCCTTTCCCAAGCTCAGCTTCGCGGTGGCCGCACACTCACCGTCACTCAGCTTCGCGAAATCCTTGTTGAGCAGCTCTTCGGCCGTCAGCTTGGAGAAGTTGTCGTCATCAAATGGGTTCCATGTGGAAGCCTCGGGCGGGTTGTAGACGTTCTGCTGCGAGGTCCTAGGCGACCCGGAGGGTGTCGTAGAGGCAGACCTAAGGCAGGAACCCACAAATTGCACAGATCGGGAGGCTGCTGCTGCAACAGCTCCTCTGCCGGCACTTCTGCTCCGTGGGCTGCAGCCGGGAATTTCCCCCACGGAAGCCGCCACATCAGCGGGGCCTCCACGTGGTAGCAGAAGGGCCGGGCTGGGCCTCCGCCTGCGTCCAGGACAAGGCGGGGTCCAGGGCAATTCCCGGGAGAGGCCGGACCAACACTTTGCTGCCGGCCCAGGCCAGAGCAGGTGGGGACTATGGGGTGAAACAGAATCGCCCGGTTCTGTCTGCACAGGGAGGGACCGCGACAAGCACCACCGGGGCCAAACCAAACAGCAGGGCCAAGGCACTCGATGGCGGAGAAAAACTCACTTTTTCTCCCGCAGGCACCTCTTGCTGCTGCTGCTGCACTTCCCCCTGTCCAAGGAGCTCAGGGAAACGTACCCGGTCTCCCCCTCTGTACCCCCACAAAGCGCAGAGATTGGCCATGCTGAGATGGAGGGGGACCCACAGCTGCCTTGGCGGGGGAGGTCCAGCTCTTGTGTTGCTGTGCCACACGAGGTCTCTGGGGAGCCACCGGCCTGCCCCCTCCAGCAATCGGGTGGGTCCCTGGCCAGGAGCCGAGCACTCCTCCCCTGCCCTTCCCACAAGTGTAAGGGGAAGGAGCCAAAAAGCACACTCGGCCCAGGAGCCCCAAACTCAGGACTGAGTGGCTCCCCCCGCGGCACCAGCCACCCTGAGCAGCGTGGCCAAGCACCCATTTTTCTCCCACGGGTCTCTTCCGAGGGTGGGGCTTGGGGGAGACCTCGGCCAGCCGGAAGGTACCCCCCAGTGGGGCAAACTGGAGAGAAGGTTGGGGAGTCCCCATCCCATCTTCGAATTCAGCCAAAGCAGGAGATGGCAAAGCAAGAACCCAAGCGCGAGCGCACAAAGCGCCGGAGCAGAAAGGAGACAGGCCACACAAAGCAGCGTGGGCTGGAGAGGGGCCCTCGAGCGTACTTGGATTTGTTGAGGCTGGCCTCAGCGGCAGCCGCCTGCAGGAGCTGCGTGGACTTGCTGGCCGGGACGCCGAAGACCGTGCTGTGCGTCACATCGCTCAGGATCCTCCGATGGCCGCCCCGCTGGGCCTTGGGGGAGGACGGGGGGGTGAGCGAGCCCATCTTCTGCCCCTGAACTGCTGAGGGAGGGTTCGGGGAAACCTTTTGCTGCCGTGGAGGTGCTTGCTTTCAGGAAAAGGAAAGGACATTTGCTGCTGGTTTTGAAGAGCCACCCCCCGGGGGGGGCACCTGCGTGCAACCCGGAGTCTGGCCCAAACTGAGTTTTGCCCAGGGGGGGAATGGGGGTGTGGAGGAAGATGAGGAAAGGAAGGTGGTCACGGTTCAGACCTTCTTGGGCAAAGGGAAGCGAGCCACTTAATCATCACCCACCCCAGGAAAAAGACCAAACACTTTTTCTCAGCTTCCTGTTTTTGGAATAATAAGAAAAGCAGTTGGCTTTGTCTCTGAAGGAGAAAGAAAATACTGATTTCTATCAAACTTGGGACTCTTTTTATTATTGGCTAGAGAAATGGAACTTCATATAGATTTAAATCTGTTTAAGTCATCATAAATGGAAAAAAATGTGGGGGTTGACCCAGCAGGCCCGATGTTTTTGATGACTGATGTTGTTTTTAGTTAGGGTTATAATTCTGAATAAAACTTATTATAAAAAAAGCATTTGAAATTGCCAAAGTAGAGAATGCAACTCAGACAGAATTGAAACATGGGGATGCTAATACTGACCTACCTTGCAGGGTCATTGTAAGGATTTCTATGCCACAGCCCAACAGACATATCCTCAGGGTGAATTCACCAAAAGTCAAGTGCTGTGGCATCAAGAGCGGCCTGTTTTGTCAAGGCTCGCTCTGGGGGACTAATCAACATTCTGCGCCAGCATCCAACCTTTCCTCTATGGAACTCAGGGGTGACTCCATTTCATTCCCGGAACAATCATGCAAAGTTCATTAGGCCTGAGCCACTGCAACCCAGTTGCCCAGCAAATGAATGGAATTTGGACCCGCATCTCTCACCAGAGATGTCCCACAGTGCTCTAGCTTAGCGGTGCTTGTGCTCCTAAAATTGTGAAGTACAGAAGTGGAATGGGGCATTTACTTGTGCACCTTTCCAATGAGGGCTGCTTTGGATAACTATTCCTGGGTTTCATCCAAGCAGAATATGCATATAGCAAATATCGGCATGGCTTTGACTGTCCTGGTAAGCAGAGCAAGGACAGGAGAACCTCCCCATTTACTCTCCCCGCTCCCTTTTGCCGATCAGGAGAAGTCGGTGGCACCGAAGACCCTTTGCAAGGCTTCTCTCTCCGGATTTGCTCTTAAGCTGAAATAGCTGCAGATACACAAAGCATTTGGCCTTACGGAAGAACTGTGCAGCAAGGACAGCTGGGAAAAAGTCTCAGCTGGAATATATTTAATGTCTGCCTCTACTCTGCCCCATCTCATTAAAGGCACACACACACAAAAGCCAAAGACAACACGGCCTTTGAGCATGAAAAGAAACAAAGCGTCATGATTACATGTGCATAGTAATGAAGCATGTGGGTGGGGGCGGGGGGCAGGATGGATGAGAAGCCTCATTTGCAAGCATCTGGGGCAGGGCGGTGCAGATCCCTGGCAGGTTTCCATCCCTTTTATACTCTCAGCAGCTGCTACGCTTGGTGTGGGGGGAACCCGTTTTCTCATTAAGTAAAGTGCACTTGTTGGCCGGGGGGGGGGGGGGAAGCAACACTATCATCATTAAATGGAGGCCCTGGACCGTAGTCTGGGCTTTTGGGAGAAAGCCTGGGAAAAAATGAGATTCACCTGCGAATTCTCCCCCACCTTGTTTGGCAGGTGATGTCCCAGGTGCTGGAACAAGCGCACTTTACAATAAGAGAAGTGGAGGCAGTGCCTGGGTCCAATGAACCAGAGCCCTGGGGGGCTTTGGGCACAACACCTCCGAATGGTGAGTTCCCCAAATGCCCCCCGCCCCGCTGCAAGGTGACCTGCTCTTCAAAGGGTGGAGTGCATCAAAGACAGCTGATGCTATAGCCAGGAGGGCTGCCTGTCCAAGCCCAAAATCCCAAGTCCCTGGGGTGCTTCAGGCCAGAGTCCAACTCTGATAGTTTCCCTCAACGGGTCATTTCGACTCAGAACAGCCACCTTTCGAGGGCCTTCTGTGGGAAGGAAGCAGGAGTCAGCGCCTAACAAACCCCACCAGAGGCTGAAAGCACCCTTACCCAATGCAGTGTTCCACAGGTGTGCTTACTGGACCACAGCTCCCATCATCCCTGGACTGGGGATGGCGAGTGCTGTAGTTGGGCACATCTGCAGGTTGCCAGGCTGAAGAAAACCTGCTTGCTTGCTTGCTTGCTTGCTTATTTATTTAAAACTTTTCTATACCATCCCTTATTGAAGTTTTGGGACAGTTTAGCAATACAAAATGTAAAAGAAAATTCTTTAGGACAGCGTCCTAAAAATTCAACTGACAATAAAACCCAATTAAAACAATTAAACAGTCGGGCCTTAATGCCAGAGAGGCTGTCTTTAGGCTCAGTCCGGCCCCCAGAGGTAGACCAGGTGCTCCTTCCCCCCACCTGGGGGCCACCCACCCATGAAGGAGGCAGATCGTCCTGCGGAGAGAAGCCACCGGCAATGCCGGAGCATGTCATCCGTCAGCCTCCCGGGAAGCTGGCTGGGGCCCGAGGCCGGAGCCGCGGGGCGGGCATGCCACCTCCACGTGGACGGTGCTTACCGGGTGCTCCTGTACGGGGGCTGCCTGCGGCTGGGGTGCAGTCGGGACGGGGAGCTTCTGCTGCCCGGAGGCTGCTTTCTGCACCAACAGCTGCTGCATGAAGTTCGGCGGTGCCGCTGAGGGCTGCGTGGCGGGCGCCGCTGCTCCCTGTTGCGCCGCTGGGAAGGGTGCCTTCCCCAGGGACTGCACCGCCGGCGGCTGCAATACCAGAAGAGGTGCCTGAGTCTTCCCAGAGGCCGCGGCCACCTGCTTTGGCACACCACAGCCCCGCTCTCCGCCAGGCTGCTCCCCCCACACACCGGCACCCCAACGCGCCTGGAGCCGCAAAGCGTGCCAGTCGGGCGTGAACTGGGCTGTGTCCAGAGCAGATGTGCTGGAACCCGAGCTAGCTGTGACCTAGGCCTGAAGCCCTGGGGACATCAATGGGTCCGCCCCATCAAGGGCTCCAGAGGGAGCCACCTCTACAGCTAATTCATCTTCTTACTCTTTTAATACTATTCTGACATGCGGAATACATTCTCTGGTGAGGCATGCAGAAGCGGGACCACAAGGGCCTCATATTGGGGCTTGGCGGCTTTGCCACCTTTTGCTGTTTCTTTCCGCTGCCTGTTCACGGCCTCCCACGGTGACCCAGTTCCAAACAACCGACTCCGAGAGCCCACAGACTGTCCCAGCACCAGGGCGGCGGGGTCGTTCCTGCTTCCTCCAGACTGGGGTGACATGGCCCAGCACTGGTGTATTGTATAGTGCTCAGTTTTGGGCCGCTCATTACAGGAAGGATATAGCCAGGTTGGAGTCAGTACAGCGTAGGGCCACAGGGTTGGTGGCTGGTTTGCAGGGGATGCCGTATGAGGCGAGACTGAGGGAACTGGGTCTCTTCAGCCTGGAGAAGAGGAGACTCAGAGGGGATCTGTTGGCAACATACAGGGATGTGAGGGGGTGTCACACGGAGGGGGGCAGAGACCTGTTCTCCCCTGCGGAGGAAGGCAGGACGCGCTCCAACGGAGCCAAGCTCAGGGAACCCAGGTTCCATTTGGATGCCAGGAAGCACTTCCTGACAGTCAGGACCCCGAGGGGGTGGAATGGGCTTCCATGGGAGGCGGCTGAGGCCCCATCGGTGCGGGTGGTCAAAGACAGGCTGGACATGCACATGGAGCCGGGGGTCAGACAAGATAGCCCAGAAGGCCCTGTATGACTTGCTCTGTATATTGTAGCTGAGCTACCACCATTCACGATCCCCTTGGAGAAGTGGCGGAAATCCCCGCCACTCTCGACAAGCAACTGTTGCATGAGGACCACAGAAAGCGGCCCCTGAGCGGCCCCAACTGGGGGCTGCTGCCCAGCACCCCCCCATGCATGGACCGGCCCTCCCCGCTGGTGGCCTGAGCACAGCCCTCTCAAGCACCTGAACGGAGAGCACTGCCTCACCCTGCGGGCAGGGAGCTGCCCCGAGAGCCTGGCATGGGAAAGACTGGGGCCACCCGACTGCCCACTACCAAAGGGGCAATGGGACTGCCCCCCACACCGGCCTGGTGTACACCGCAGCACCCCCACGCCGACCCAGTGTCCCACCTCTGGCTTCCCTGCCGGGAGCCCCACTCCTCAAGGGGCAGGTGGTGGGAACTGGCTCCACGGGTTGCCCAGAGCACGGCACCCCCTCCCGTTCAGGCACGGCTCCGGTAAGAGAGGCGGGGCCCCGACCCCTCGCCGTTGTGCTTCAGGTGTGCGACCTGCTCGTGCAGGAGGAACATGGAACGCTGTGCGCCATGGGGGCCCTGCACAGGCACAGGGCGCTGAAGCCCACTCGTGCCCACAGCGGTCAGAGGGGTGAGGCACGTTCCTCCCCACAACTTCCCCGCAGGCCCGACACGGAGGGAGGCGGGGGGCCCGCGAGGAACACCCCCTCCTCCTGGGCTTCTCCTGCACGCTTCACGTGCCGCGCCCTCCCGGCTTCCCCAGCACTCCCCATGGCTGGCGGGCCTCCGCGCCCCTGCCGCCCCCCGCCCCGGAAGAGAAGGCTCACCTGTGGGACTTGCCCTGGCGGAAGCGGCTGATAAAAGGCCGCGGGCAGGGCTGCCGCCTGCTGCTGCTGCTGCTGCTTCAGGAAGAGCTGGTGCTGCGGGGTGGCCGGGGGCTGTGCCGCGGGGGCCGGGGGCTGTGCCGCGGGGGCCGGGGGCTGCGCTGGGTCGGGCTGCAGCTTGGGCTGCACTTGCGGGAGCGGTGGAGTCTGCTGAGGCAGAGCCTTTGGCTGTGGGAGACTCGCGGGCAGGGAGGGCTGGCCGCCGGGCAGGGGCACCGGAGCTGCCGCTGCGGAGCAGAAAGCAAAACCTCCGTCAGGCCGTGCACCTTTTCGCCCTGGCGTTCTCCACTTAGTCACTCGCTTTTGAATTCGCTGGCATCCTTAAGAGCGAGGACATTTAAAAACATGACTCAGGATTCAGCAAAGGAAAAGGAGAGGGGACAGCAAGCAGTAAGAGGAAAGGGAAAGGAAACTCGCTGCGTTGGCTTTTAACAACACACAGTGTTGCTCGTGCAGGCAGTTCTACAAAGAACTACAAAGCCCCCACAAAACCACAAGGAACGTGGGTTTTACCCATTACCGCAGGCCGGCAGGGGCCAACTCCACATCGTGCTTTTAGGAAAAAGAAAAAATGACCCAGGAGAACAGAGCTTTTATCTACAATCGACAAACCCATATGAAGTACAGCACAGCTGCCCCAATACTGACACACACACACACACACACACACAGAAAAGCTCTGGAGTGAGCAGGGCTGCGTGATTCCTGAGCAAGAGGACAACCCGTTATTTACTGCTCTAAAATGCCTGACAAGCTTCTAGCGAACTTAAGGGACTACTGGAAACACAGCCTGGTTTTCTCCTCTCTGACTATTTTTGATGGTCCAACTGCTTTACATTATTAACTGGTATGTTCCTCTGACTCAGTCTGACTCATCAAATAAGATCCAGAGTTGTATTAGCTGCTCTGAGGGACCCTCCGGGGCCCACCAGTGCGGGATGCGCCACAGGGGCTGATGGGGCCAGTGAGCGACACACGTTCTGGGGCCAGGCATCGTGGCAAACGCATTCCTGGATTATCCAGCCGAGCAGAACGAGAACGGTGGCTGGAAGGCGGACCACTGGCAAACCACCCAGAGTTTAGTGATCATGGGCCGGAGCTGTTTGACCATGTGAGCCCTAAGCACACCCTTGCGCACAGTACCCAAACGTTTAATGGGATCAGCATTGCTCTGCGAGCACGGAGGGGCAAAAAAACCCCTCTCTTTTTTGGTACTGTCCATTCTATGAAGGTCCCGAGAGAGAGGTTCCTATCCTGTTTTCTGGCTTGCCTCAAGACGGGAAACGCCATCACCTCTTCTGGGAATCCCCTCACACGCCAGGGGACGAGCCTCAGCGCACTCGGCAAGGTTCTAAGAGAAGCCGGCCCAAGGCAGAAGGCCCAAGGAGCTGCCCACACGCCAGGCAGGTGATCTACCTGGGGGCTGGGCTCAACTCCTTCCCAGCGAGGGCTCTTGCACCACCCGAACAGGGCCCATCCAGTACACCAGCTGGGAAGCAGAAGGCACCACTCCAGGCGAGGTCCCCGCTCCTGGCTGCCATGCTAGCTCTCTCGGCACCCGCTCAGACGGTCGGGGGGACCTTGCCCAGCAAGCGCAGCTCCCCAGACCACTGGGGCAGGCTGTGGGAAGGACGGGGTGCTCAGTGGAGCAGAGTCGGCATCCTGCCCGCGTGACGCGAGAAGACGGCAGAGGCTGCAGTGCTGCCTAGCCGACTCTCACCGGGCCGCTATTTCTGCAAGGATGCCCATGGGAGTGTGGAACAGGAGCTGCGTTTGGGATGAATTCACTTCATTCTCTACTTTGAAGAAGTATACAGCACTGGAAATGCAAGAAAGCCAAGTGGCTGGCTGAGGAAGCTTTACATATTGCTGAGGAAAGAAGGGAAGCGAAAGGCAAGGGAGAAAGGGAAAAATACGCCCAACTGAATGCAGAATTCCATTCTTTTTTCTGCAGTGCAAAATACAGCACTGGTACAGAGCAAGAGAGTGAACTAAGCAGCACAAAGTAAATCCCACCTTTGGATTATCTGCAGTGTGTGGACCAGTGATCAGTAAAATCCAGCACAACATGCGGAGGGGCACACACAGGCAGGCGGGAGTTCGGACCCGTGTGGGCAGGCCCACGGCATCGGTGAGAAACAGTCCGTGCCCCAGCTCCCCCCGCAAGGGACAGGGCCCTGGCACCCCCAAAGGCCGCCTTCGCGCACTCACCCTGGGCCTGAACATTCGCTGGCACCGTCGGTCTCTTTCGAGGAGTCAGTGCAGGTTGAATAGGCAGGATTCCCGGGTTAGTTTGCGTCTGCCCGGCTTTCGGTCTTTGGCGTGGAGTGATGGATGTTTCCGTTGTGGGAACAGGATCCGTCAGCCTAGGGGAGACAAGGTTTCAGAGGAGGGGACAGGCTTTATGCCCTCACTGTAACTCCAAGCCTTTTGCCCCAGTCCCAAGTCGTGGGCCTGCCCGCCCCCATGCCTGCTGCTGGTAATCTCCCCCACCAACAGCCAACCCTGGAAGCCGCCAAGTATCAGGCACAGCCCAGTGGACGACTGCACGAGGCCACGCTCGCCCCGGAGGCGGTTTGAGTGGCACCCAAGGGGCAACTTCCTCAATTGGTATAATCAGTCCCAGCTGTGGAACTGGGGGTTGCAGTCCCGGGATTTTAAGTGCGGAGCCCCAAGCGTGCACCACGCTCCCACATGGCCGCCGGCAGCCCCGGCGTGTACCAGTGAGCGGGGAGAACCATGCAGCCCGCAAGAGACGGAACCCACTCACCTCAGGAAGCACCGCAGGCGGCCAGGGAAAGCGGCCGTGCCTGCGCGAGCGAGTGGGGCATCCCTCGCAGCCAGTCCGGCTGCAGTGCAGCGGAGGACGCAGGTGTATGAACCACTGCTAGCCTCATGCAGAGCAGGCTTGGGCCCCTGCTGCACTCGAGGATGCAGAGGGACCCTGGCTCCACATGGAGGGTCCCAGGCACAATCCGCCCTGGCAGCATCCTGCACGAAGCCCCCATGAGCGCCGGCCTCTGGGTGTCCGCAGCACTGGCTGAATGGCCCTGGTGGCACAGCCTCCAGGTGGGGCTGACGCTGGATCCAGCCAGAGGCAACCGGGGTGGGGAGAGGAGCCCGGCAGGCATGGGGCTGAAGCCAAACCAGGTAGGAGTACCCCGGCCAGGGCGCCAGTCGCCGGGGCGGAAAGTACCAAAGAGCACTCAAGATGCTTCCATCACGGGACACACTGACAGCCCCCGCTCCTCTGACCCCCAGCTGCTCCTCCTGCGTAATTCTCCCCCTCCCTCCATCCAAGGACAGCTGGAACCCATTAGAGCCGCTTCTTGTAGCCAAGTATTAGAGACAATGCACTGTTTCAAGCTGCACTTTTAATAGACTCGCGGAAGAGGAGTCCAGGCATAATGGGCTGCCTCAAACACGGCTGTTTGCGCTGGTGTCACAGAAAGAACTCTTGACCAGCTCTGCTCTAGATGGCTTTGGTCGCCGTCCAGCTCTGTGACTTTAGCAGCAGCACAGAAGCGGCAGCGACTGCAGGGCAGAACCAAAAGAAGGCTGGGACCTAGGCTGAGTTCTCTGCTAAGGTAGGAAATGGTCCAGAGGAGACGTTCGAAGATGGGAGAGTCTGGAGGACCAAAGAGTTCTGGACAGCTGAAGGAACTGCACGCTTTAGCTTGGAACAAAGAGCCTTAAAGATTTTCCCAGACATTTACAGAATTGTTTGGAGAAGGCAGAACTGGAAAACTGTAGTGGGGGGAAGAGAGCAAGTCATCCCAATTCGACTTCACATATATGTCATTTTATATAGATCCCTGCACATCCGTTTTTCCAGAATGTACACTTAGTACTTGGAGTAAATAATTTCTAAACCTCATGGATCAAATGGGATAATCAACTATAGGGTTAGATTATGAACAAAGCTAAAACCCTCCACTATCTTGTGTTGCATATTCTGGCAGCAATTAAGATGCATACAGTAATTAACTGTGTTAATTACATCCTTTTGTGTAGCTTGGAAAAAGACCGTGGCTCAAGACAACCTCCAATCCGTAATTTTCTTCCAAGGAGCACCTATCCTTATCCTATTTGCTTTTGCATTTACAGCAATTGAAAGGGGACTCAACATTTGCTGTGTTGATTCTGACACCATCTGCACTGGCCTGGAGGGATGGACTTATCCCAGGAAGGCAGTCTTCTTGTCCACTGCTGTGGCACGAATGGAGAGAAATGCGTCCCTCTAGCAAGGACAGCTGAGCTGGGACTAGGGATTCTTGGTCTGCTTGAAAGCAGACCATCAGCGAGATGTAACACTCCCCCCCACAGACATGGAAAACAACTCCAAGTGGGTACATTTGCAAACTATCTCAAAGACCTAGGTGGTGGAAAGCTAGCCATTAGTTTAAAGCAATCCCATCTTATATCAGCAAGTAATGAGAAGCGACTGCTATCAGCGAAATTCAACATGAGCCATACTTAAAATAGACTCACTGAAATGAGAGGGACTAAGCCACAACTAACTTGTCCCACTCATTTCAGTGATTTATTCCAAGCAGGGCTTATGTTGCATTTTAAGATGCATTTTTAATTACGGCTCCCCAATACTGCAGTTAAATGCTCCGCGGAAACCCACGCCCAACTTCTTGACTTGTTCAGTTCTACAGTGGAAGCCTAGCAGAATCTTTTGCATTCATGCTAGGCATAAATTCTCCTTTGGTTATTAAGTTTAAAACTTTTCAAAATGCTTAAGCTGATCCATTTGTTTTCATAGAAATGATATATTTTGCAGAAATGTAAACTATGGCATAGCTTGATTCAAATACTTTTCTTGGAAAATTATCTATGTATTCTTAAGGGACTTTGATCACCACTGCAAACAGCTTAAGCATAATCCAAAGGAATGGGAGGGGGAATCCCAGTCATCATAATAAATGGAAGTCTCTGAGCTTTGATCATTCACTAAATTATTCATTCTGGGTGAAGTATTTATGACTAATCCAGGAAGAGAAATGCTGTCCAAAAATTAAGTATTTCCTAAAGTTTCAAACTAAAACTGTGACTCTACTTCAAAAGTTTTTCCTGCACCTACACAAACTGCCACAGAATTATTTATTTTATGTAATTGATGCTTATAACCTCCTGATGCTACTTTGCAAGTGGTGTTGTGTCATATTAAGTCACCAGCTACAAGAGAAACAAAGTATTTGTTTCTGTTTACACAAAATGATTTAGAAATTATTATTTTTCCTACTCCTGTGAAAATCCGTATGCCCATAAATCCCCTTGGCTTTATGTATTCTATGCAGAGATCCAAGTGATCCGATGGTCCCGAAACAGTACGTGAGGTGCCACAGAATTTTGGAGCTCCTCGGATCCAAGGACAGAGGGGGCACTCCAGCCATGGAGCTGGGAAATCGAGCGCCAGCTCCCCTCCACCAGGTCCTCACAGCTGGTGTGGAAAGAGCTGCTTTGGCTGCTCTCTGAGAATAGGCTACGAACTTCAGATAATGGGGAAAAGGGAGGTGGAGCAGGGAGGGCAGGCTAAGCAACCCCAAAACTGCTCTGGCTCCTTCCCTCCTGTCCCAGGATGCCCCTCTGGACTCCAGCAAACTTTGCCTCTGCCACATGCCCCCGTTTTCTTTTTTAAGTAATTTGATGATGAAACAGGTGCATATGCAATAACTAAGGGAAAGGAGCTTTTGGTTCCTTTGGCAAGCACAGCAGCATTTACTTCGGTCCGGGGTCCTGAAAGATGCTGTGCAGCCCAGCCACAGACCTACTGATAAAGCGGCCAGTCTTCTGAGCGAGCGGCAGGAGCGCCATGTGGGGCTTGGGAAGCGAGTTTCCAAGAGGCACCATGACTTGCAACACACTGGTCCTCTTACTGGCCCACCTCACCTTTACTTTACCTGTCCTCCTGGGTCTCCCTCGCCTTCCGTCCCTTTCATGGCTGAACACAACAGTGCCAGGAATATATGCCTCTCCTCACAGTCCGTATTACTGACTGAGGCCCGAGAAGCATCCGCACAGGACGAGAGCTTCACAGGGGCTCTAACTCACTCACCTGTGGCGCTTTCTGCGCTAGCATTCTTGCAGTGAGTGCTCTAAGCCTAGCACCTGAGACGTCCCTTCCAGAGGTTCAGTTCATTCAATTCCAAACCAGTTGTCCCGTCCTGCAGCTCAGAAATGTAGCTTTGCACAACAGTTACAGAGGGATCTGCAGGCCAATTCGCCCTAAGCTGGTTTTCTTGATCTAATTCTACAGTCTTTGAAACTTGGTCCACCATTAGGCTTCCTTTACAGGTTTGAGGGAAATCCCCTAAAGGTCACTTTATTTTGACTTGTCCCGTTATCCAGCTCTTCATTTCCATCCATCACTTTTCTCTGTTTCTCACTCTGTTGTATCGTTATGGTTCTTTGTGAATTCTGGTCCCAGGTGTATCTACCACTTCTCATGTAGCAGAACCAGGTTTTTTCATTTACTAATTTGATGAATTATTTTATTCTACTCACCAGCCTTGATGGACTGTCCCTGTTTTCAATAAAAATCACATCCCTGCTCCTCTCTAAAGATCTAAAGATTTTTATTTCTACGTAAGCACTGCTCCCTTCACTTGTGTGCTCACAGAAGGATCTTTTGCCAGCTTATATTAAGACAGAGAGAACATACCTGGCTTTCGGCTGGCTCTTCTTAGCCGCAGCTTCGCTAGCTTTCACTGGCTCTGGAAGTTTGGCAGGGAGGGGAGAATTCTGCAAATCCAAAATGCTGAGCTCATTATACATACACACCCCGCAACACACACAGAAGCAGGAAGTTACTGAAGGTTACTAAAAGCCATGGAAAGCAGGAGCAAAGAAAACCAAAGTGTAGCATCTCTCAGACACTTATCAACAACAGCAGACCAAGAAGAGAAGCAGTGCAAGACCTTTTGATGCGACGGTTCCAAGCAAGAGAGAGTTAAAAGTTGTCTAGCATTCGCCTAGAAACTACATCTTTGGTAACGTGAACAACAACAAGACCTTAAGGGTGCCATCTGAGCCAAATGCCTGTTAACCGCTGTACTCAAAAGGGCAGAAGGAGCGCAGAGGCGATTCCAACCGGCCTTGGAGCGCAAGGAGGCAGCTGAGGGACCACCTGGATACTTCTCCTCCCCACCCACTCAACCATGTCTTCGGGGTGCTTTTGTGACCCCGGAGAGACAGCCCGTGTGCTAAGTTGTGGCTCCTCCCACAGCTGCAAACACCTTTGGCAACACTTTGTGTTGTTTTATGGCTCTTCCTTGATTGCAGTCACTCGGCAAATTATTCCTAGCCTCTTGCTGGCCTACCAAAGTTCTGGAAGACATGGGAGAACAGCACCTCCAAGCCAGTTTCCCTGTGACGCTCTTTTACCCAGCAGGAAAGGAGGCCTGCTTGTCTCACCTGAATGTTCTGGACTGGACACTCCCTCTTCGTGAGCTTGAATGCAAAATGGGAGACCTGGTAGATTTCGGGCCTCTTGTCTGGATCTGGTTCCAGCATGTATCCTAGGAGAGAGAATGCCATTTAGACATTGCAGGACAAACGATGAAGAAGCACAGAGTCAGGCCTTACTCAATATCCCTCCAAGCAGTATTTATCCTACTTCCACTGCAGGGACAGTAGAATCCAGTCCATGGGGCTTGCATAACCCCTAATTACTGCAGTCAAAAGGTGTGTGCTTGAAAGAGGTCTTCTCTTCAAGCAATGTCTAAAGACTTTTGGAAGATTCCACCAAGCTTCATCTTCCTGTTACGGTTGTTCCATTCCTTCTGTTTTCAGCATTTCCACTGCAAGCTATCTTGTAAGCAGCGTAAAGAAAAATGTTAAAGGATCGCTGTAAGGTTTTACCTTTTGAGTCGTAGTTATATTCCTCGGGAAAGCCAAAGGCCGGCCTGCCACAGGCCATGCGAGAAAGACTAGCAAGTCATCTTAAAGGCAGAGTGGGTGGGTGCCGCTCGAGAGGACGGCTGGCGCAGCAAGCGGAATGCAACCGCCACGCCCCGGCACTGCCGCGAGGAATCCATCCCATGCTCCACAACGCATTCACTGCCATCAATGAGTCATTTGTAAGCAGCCTGGCTTGGATTCTCCATTGACCAAGGGCAAATCCTTATCTTGGATTTAAGACATTACGTGGCTCTTTTAGACGGACTTGCTCAGTGGTGAACTGTGGTGAAGGAGTAGGCCACCATGGGCTTGCTTTTACTTGTGGGCAGCGGCTCAAGACTAAGCGGGGGGAGCACTGGCCCCGAGTAGCAAACTGGAGGTGGTGGAAGCTCACAGTCACACGATGCCAATAAACTGAAGCTCAATCCAGACAAGACGGAGGTCCTGTTGGTTGGCGGATCGGGCTTCGGAGAGGGTGGACTGAACTTAGTCCTGAATGGGGTTGCACTCCCTCTTAGGGACAAGGTCCGCAGCCTGGGAGTGCTCCTCGACCCGGAGCTTTCATTGGAAGCTCAGGTGACAGCAGTGGCGAGGAGTGCTTTCCTTCAGCTTCAGCTGATCCATCAGCTGCGCCCCTATCTGGAGAACGACTGCCTTGCAACAGTGACACATGCGTTGGTGACTTCCCGCCTTGACTTCTGTAACGCGCTCTACGTGGGGCTACCCTTGAAGACGGTCCGGATACTTCAATTGTTTCAAAATAGAGCTGCCAGGCTGCTGACGGAGATGGGCGTTATGTTCACATGACTCCAGTCCTCCGTCAGCTTCACTGGCTTCCCACTGAAGTCCGGGCCCAATTCAAGGTGTTGGTGTTGACCTATAAAGCCCTAAACGGCTTGGGTCCTGGTTACCTGAAGGAGCGCTTACATCCATATACGCCCGCCCGCCCCTTGAGATCTGCGGGAGAGGCCCTTCTCCGGGAAGCCTCCGTGAAAGAAATTAGGAGGGTAGGTACTCAGAGGAGGGCTTTCTCTGCGGTGGCGCCCAATCTATGGAATGCGCTCCCCAGAGAGGTTTGCCTGGCGCCATCGTTATTTGTTTTTCGGCGCCAGGCGAAGACCTTTTTATTTAAACATCATTTTAATTGTTAATATTATTTGCTTATTTTATCTGGCCAGGGCGACTTATTTTATATTGTTAATTTGTTTTATATTTTTAATGTATTATATTTTAATTTATGTTGTGAGCCACCCCGAGGCTTCGGCGAATGGGGCGGCATAGAAATGTTTTAAATAAATGAATGAATGAATGAATGAATGAATGAATGTATTAACGCAGCCTGAAAGGGGCTCAAGATGAAGAACGGAACAGTGTGCTTGCTTCAGTTAAAGGCAGCTTCCATGCAATAGCCTCTCGTCATTGCTAAAAGAAATCCTTGGGATCCTTTACTGATTCTTTCTCTGGATCCAAATTATTGAAAATGAAATTTGATCACTCAAGACACACTGATTACCAGTTGAACTAAAAGTCAGGCATTTCAACACTGCTGCCTTGCAAAGGGGCATAGGAAAAGCACTCCTACATATCTAAAGCATTTCCCCAGCGAGGAAACATTTGACAGCTCAATGGGGGAATCCAACTGGGATGGAGAACAGTGAATAAAACCTCCAATGGGTACAGTGGTCTACAGGAGCCACCAAGAAACGGACGGATGCTACCAACCAGCCCTTTGAATGGACTGCACAAAATCTCCTGCTCAAAGGTGTCAAGAATTTGGCCAAATTCATGGCCAAATTGAATGGCTACCTTGGCTTCTTGGGTCCCACACAATGGCCCATTCACACACTGTGCTTTGCAGCTGAAGCCAACAGATCGGAGGGTGAAATTCCCTGAAATCCCCAGAAGAGGAATCGAGTCAGAAGCGCAGAGCTGTGAGGTCACAGCTATATTTCCCCAGTGGTCTGCAAGCCGCAAATGGATCCATGTCAGAGAAACCCTTAACACACCAACACGGAGGCTCAGTTTCAAGTGCCACGCTCTCGGCAGCTTTACACGAGGACCAAAACAGCTTTAGGGTGGCGCTCGCTTTACAGGCCTGATGCGGCTGACGAGGCAGCAAATCTCCAGACACGGGTGTCCCAGCAAACTCCCCTCCTGAGCTTGCTCCAGGCCAGACTGCTCTGGCACCCCAAACCCCAATGCCCAACATCAGCAGGTGGCCCAGGGGGATACTCACGGATGAGGCAGTGCATGTCCTGGGAGTAGCGCGAGTTGTCGGGAATGGTGAAGTTCCCATCGCAAATGGCCACCTGGCTCTCCCCAAACGGTAAAGTGAAGTAGCAGAGTTTGTACAGCAAACACCCCATGGCCTGCAAGGAGATGAGCAATTCTTGAGCGCCCGGCAGGCACCGACGCAGGCGGTTTGCCCCTGGTTTGTTACCCAGCAAATGGATCCTGCCACAGTTCTGGGGATATCAGAAGGCCTCTGTGAACCCTGCGGGTCAGCTGCCTCGTTCTCTAGAACAGATCGCTCGGAAGTAGCCCAGCCAGTTTACCACCTGATTTCTGGCTTGCTCCAGACCCGTGTTGGGCGCACGATGTTTACTGCATGGTGCAGAAACGGGTGCGCAACTCCCCTCCGCAACTGCCATGCGCCACTCCCGTCCTCCAAAGCAACGCCTGCCTGGCTTGAGCTGCGGCTCCTCTTCAGCCAGGAGCACGCCACTCACGGGAAGAAGTCCGCCCCACCAGCCTCCACGAGAAGCCCTGCACCCCAGGCCAAAGGTGCAAAAGCGGGCAGGCCGCTCGCTTCAACACGCAGCCACAAGCAGACTGCCCCTCTTGGGGAAAGCCGGTCGGCGTGCTGGTTTCACTGAGGGATGCGGCTGGCAGCCCAAGGTCACGCCTGACCTCCGTCACTTTGCTCTGCCTGCAAGACCATGAGCTGAGGAAAGAGATGGCCACAAGCCTAGCCATTCAAAGCAACATTTACACAGAACTAGAGACACGGGCCATCAAATTTGCCTCAGCTCCTCTCCCCACCCCCCATCTAAGGAAGCCCTCAAAAAATACAAAAAGAAAAAGATGAAAGGGAGGCTATTACCACTGATTTCAGGAGAAAGCCTCATCACGGGGGGGGGGGGGAGCTCCAGGGACTTTATTTCCCCAACTTTTTATTTCACTTCATGAAATATCTGCACATTTTTGTTTACTCTTTACATTCTGGAAACCTCAGGATAAAGTTCTGCGTTCTGCAAGAAAGACTTGAGGATATGAGAATTACATTAAGGTGCAGTCCTAGGTAAGTTCCAACAAAAAAGGCCCTGGTTGCTGACAGACCCCTCTCCCAACATCTGGTGATGAGTGCAGCTGCGCACTTTAGTAAGGCAATTCCTCCGACTGCATAGATCTAAATGTTGCATTTTGTTTTTGATGCTCGATTTGTAAAAAGAGAAAGATTCCACTTTACAAAATAGCCAAAGCTAGCAAGATCTGGAGAAATGGGGAGAAGGAAAATTATTTTTGGCAGGAGACTGAAATGGAATAATGAATTATGAATTAGACAAGTCGGAAAAAAACTCTGTTTGCGTATCGGCCAAGGGTTTTTCAAGCAGAGAGAGAAAACAAAGAAATGACAACCGATGGCAGCTGCATCTCAAGCAAAGAGACCGGGGCTTACACAGGCCGCATGAGGAGGTATGGGCAGTGATTAGATTGGTCGCTTCCCCAAGTTGTGCTCGATAGGCAGACGGGTCAGAACTAGGACTGTTTGCTAGATGATGCGGACACAGCCAAGGTTTTGTGGTCAACATACAATGCCTCAAACAACTGGGGATCAGGAGCGCCTGTGAGCCACCTTCCCCGCATTCACCAGGGTGATCTCCGAGGCCTTCAAGGATGCCTCACGGGGTGGTTCGGAATCAGCAGCGTGCCGACAGTGAACAAGCAGGGGCTTTGAGATGGTGATGCCACCCTCCGGAACAGGGTGCCTTGTTCTCGCAGTAGAAATGGTGGTGAGCTTCAAATGCTCTCAGAGACTTGTTTGTGGGCTCGACCAGAGGCTGCACTGATGCCACACAACTCTACTGACCCTTTGCATCTCCCATCAGGTGATGTACTCAACCAGTGCCTGGCCACAACAATGGACTGGATGAGGACTCACAACCTGGAGCTCAGTCAGACTCGAAACAGGCACACCCGTCTGGTGGCCAAGAACCCAGCCACTGGCCCAGGGCCCTCAAGGCAACTGAGACAGTGCACGAAGCTGCCGGAGGGAAAACAGAACTAGGAAATGGTATCCAATGTCACAGCAAGAGCGGCTGGCTTTTGTAAAGCTGTAATTGCTTGCTGGGAGAAGATGATGAAATAGGGTTATTACAATTCTAATTTTGAATACGCATTTACACTTTTATCTCCTATTTTACACTTGTTAATGCCTCGGGCACTGCATTGCTCTTCTCTCTACTGATCTACAACTGCAGCGAAAGAAGCTTCACCCCACAGCTTTAGACTGCAAGTCTCTTATTTGATGGATTGGACTGATTGATTCCAAACCGTCACACTTCTGCTCCACTTGTCTTTGCAAAAGGTCGGAGCGGCTGGCCTCCAAGCCTGGGGTCCGGCATTCTAGGGTGACAGGACCGGAGCAGTGGGAAGTCTCGGCGATCACCGGACCATCAAGGGACAAGGAGCCGGGGGCATCTCACATGTATCGAGTCCTTGCGATAGCACCCTGCCTACGCGTTCTTCCACAAGGTACAGAGAATCACTTCATGTGCACGCCCGCTTTTGGGGATGGATCTGGAATACTGCTGCTCGCGGGGAGAACAACCCTGCCTACTGTGACATGCCAAGACAGATGAGGCGCTCCCATCCACTTTCCAAATGAGACATTAGCAGAATTTTGCTCAGTGCTGACCTATCTCAAATGACATACCTCCAATTCACGCAAAACTCCTTTTTTATTCTGCCTTTGGACAGAATGGCCAAAGAGAAAAAGAAAAAATTAAAAAGCACCATTTTGCTTAGCCTTGGGTCTGATCTGGTGCTAAGTGCTGCTTGAGTCTGAAGCTCGAGTCCTGTGAGATTCAGTTGCCCCAAAGTGCAGCTCCTCTCTGGTCAGCGTTGAACGGGAGACCGGGGGGGGGGGGGCTGAGAGAGGCGAGATATGTGGGCAAACTGGTAGCCCCCAGGGGCATCCTACATACCCAGATATCAGCTTTCGTAGTAATCAGCTTCCCGCTATACAGGTTGACCATCTCGGGGGCTCTGTAGGAAAGTGTGGTGTATCTAGAAGAAAACCAGAACATGCTTCAATCCTGGGATAACGAGCCTGGGGCTTCACATTGACACGACGTGTCCCTCCATGCCCTGGGCAGATACTTCTCCCTCCCCGAGTGATTCTGGGTGCAGAACGTCCAGGGGCTCGGCACATAGAGACAGAAAACTTGCTGGCTGAGGAACGCCCACGCCAGATTTGCTCGCCCAACAAATTAACTGCCCTCTCCTTCTGGCAAGGCCAGGGGAGGGAAAGCCTGCTTTTCTCTCTCTGCCTGCACAAAGCGGGCCATTTTGGATTGAGGGACACCGAAAGCACATCAAATCATCTCAGTAACAAAGGAGCCTCCCTGCCTCACCGCCCCCAAAGGTGCTAGCAGCTGTGCTAGGCCACAACTGATGCAAGTCTTGAGTCTCCCCACTCCACTGGTCACGTGGCATCGCTGTTCGCAGGGCTCTGCGGGGCTCTCTTCTCCACCCCCACCCCATGCATCCGGGCAAGCCTCAGGCCCTGCATCCCGTGGCTGCAGTGGCTCTTTTCCCTGAGAGAAGCACTGGCCAGTGCTCTGAAATCTCCGCCAAGTACGCTGTCCCTCCCCCTCTTCCCCTCTCTCTCCAGAGGGCAACAAGCCAGGAGTGCATGCGTACCGAAAGGAGGCGAGTCCCGGCACGGCAGCCAATGGAGGCGGCTCTTGGGGACACGCTGGAAGAGCCACGTGTTTGGAAAGCAAGCCTCAGCCACCCAGGCCTCAGAGGCTGCGGTGGATCAGGGCCCAGGAGACTCCGCCCATGGACCAGCAGGAGGCCCTCTGCAAACGGCGTCCCCCGCCTCCGCGAGTGGCCAGGCTGCCCACCACCTGCCCCTTTAGGCCAACTCTGACCACGATGCCCTCCCTAAAGCGGCACGCCAGCATTGCAAGGAAAGTGCCCCCAGCAAGGAGCAGCAGCAGCCGGGCTGCAGAGTGAGACCCCTCCCCACCGGCCCCCACCCCGCCTCCCCCTTACTTCTTGATCTCCTCTTCCACCGCATTCACTCCCTCGAGCTGTGGATTCTGGAATTTGTTCGTGGCGCTTCCGAAGTCGCACAGGACGTAATGGCCACGGTCGTGCAGCAGGATATTCTCCACCTGGAGCCGGGAGGGGCGGAGGACCACACGTAAGTCCGCAGCAACAAAGAGACTCTTGCTGCCGCTGAGCCGGTGGAGCCCAGAAACCACCCAGAGCCGTTGCTGCATCATCGGCACCAACACATCATCTGGGTCAGCAGCTCCCAAAGTGAGGCGGCCAGCGAGTCGCTTGAAGAGCAGGGGAAGCCTGAGGAAGGGCTCATCTTTTCTCACACCGCAGCAAGGCAGCCCTCCTGGTGCAGTTGCTGGGGCGGGGGGCACCCCCTCTTCCCACCACAGCACACGAGCAGCATCCCGTCGCTGCCTTTCGACCCTCAGCCAAGAATGCCCAGGAGGACTGCTGCGCGAGGCACGACTCTTTCGGGAAAAGCTTCACTCCCAGCTCTGCACCGGTTAAGCAGCTGAGACCTCAGCTGGAAGAGGAGCCATGGAGTCTTTCTGCAGCCCCAGGACAGGCCTAAGAAGCTGTCTTGCACCATCCGCCCAGGCGTCGAGCAGAGGAGGTGTCTGGGCATCAGCTGCTATGCTGGGCCACCAAACAGGCATGGCACACGGCGAGCCCGGAACCGTCAAGACACACAAGAGCTGCCCGCCAGTACCCCGCAATGGGGCCTCACTTCGGCAGCGATTCAGAGGCAGGTGGCGGCACTCTCCAAAGGCGAGGGGAAGAGAGGCCGCTGCAGCATCCATGCTCCGGGCAGAATCCGTTGTGATGCCGGCTCAGGAGACGGGCACCTGGACAGGTGGCGTGAAGGAGGGATTCCTGGCATCCCGGTGAAAACAGAGCTGGGCTACGGAAACCCGCTAGAAAGTTTTATTTGCATATGCACGTGCTTGCGACTTCTGTACCATAAACTTCTGTTCCTAGAATGTTTCTGTTACCTTGCACGCCTCGGGACGGACCTTCCCTGAGACAAGGAGATGGGCCTCGCTTTTCATTTTGCCTCCCCGGGGAAAGACCTGCCCTGTTGCCCAGGCCAGACTGGAGAAGCAAGACAACTCCTCGGTGCCCCTTGGGCACGCTTGAGCTGCTGGAACTGGGAGCGACTCAGAAAGAGAGAGAAAAGGTTGGGCGCTTTCCCCAAGAGGCCCTGCCTCCCTCCACACCTCTCCACAGGTACAGTGAGTGCAGAAGCCTTTCAGGAAAGAACTGATCTTGGGAGGAGGCGGCGACGGTGACACGCGCACTGGTGACTTCCCGCCTAGACTTCTGTAACGCACTTTACGTGGGGCTTCCCTGAAGACGGTCCGAACACTTCAATTGGTGCAAAATAGAGCTGCCAGGTTGCTGACGGGGACGGGGCGTTATGCTCACTTGACTCCAGTCCTCCGTCAGCTTCACTGGCTGCCCATTGAAGCCGGGGCCCAATTCAAGGTGTTGATTATGACCTATAAAGCCCTAAACGGCTTGGGGCCTGGCTACCTGAACGAGTGCTTACGTCCGTATATGCCCGACCGCCCTTTGAGATCTGTGGGAGAGTCCCTTCTCCGGGAACCCTCCATGAAAGAAATTAGGAGAGTAAGTACTCGGAGGAGGGCTTTCTCTGCGGTGGCGCCCAACCTATGGAATTCACTCCCAAAAGAGGTCCACCTGGCACCATCGTTACTGGTTTTTCGGCACCAGGTAAAGACCTTTTTATTTAAACATTTTAATTGTTAAAATATATGATCTGGCCAGGGCAACTTCTTCTTCCTTCTCTTTTCTCCTCCTATATTATTTATTTACTTATTTTATACTGATAATTTTAATTTTATATTATTATGTTTGTAACTCAGTGTATTTTTTGTATTTTCTATTTAATGGTAATTTATTATGTTCTATTGTATTTCAATGTATTTTATTGTGTTGTAAGCCGCCCCGAGGCTTCGACAAGGGGCGGCATAGAAATGTAGTAGTAGTAGTAGTAGTAGTAGTAGTAGTAGTAGTAGTAGTAATAATAATAATAATAATAATAATAATAATAATAATAATAATAATACTGCGGGAACAGACAACCTCTGCCTTCTCCCAGGCTTCGTGGAGGGCGCTGCACATGAGATGCCTCATGTGCTTGCAAAGATGGGCTCCTACGTCATCCAGCACCCTGGGGCCAAAGGCTGGTGCGTAATGCAGCAGGCCCATCTTGTAATGCTTGGGAAGGTCTGCACTGAGGCCCACCTGGCTGCCTGCAGTACCCTCCACAGTAAAACTTCCTTGAAAGACCGTCACAGAAGCCCCTCCGCAGAGGGAATGTCCCCCGGCAGTCATGTTCCGATACCTCGATAAGCCCTCGTGGTGCATCCTCTGAACCGCCTCGCACTCACCGAAATCGAGCACCTTTCCTGCTCTGTCGAACTGAAGCTGGAGAGCTGGGCATGCGGAGCTAGATGCTTGGGTGTACTCAGCTCACCCTTCCAGTGCTCCTCCGTGCTCGAGGGGGAACGGCCAGATCTGCACGGGGGCCTGTTTCCCTCCTCACCCCTGGCCCGGGAACAAGTGCGGGGAAGGCCTGCACTGGCAGTGACCCCCCCCCCCAGCTCAGTGTGCCATGGCCAGCCCTGCAGGGCTCCCCGACACTGGCCCAGCGCTCCGCGCACTGGAAGCCCAGCGGGAACAGCCGAGCTTCCTGCCCTGGAGGCTCCTGCCCTCGCCTTGGCCAAGGCAGGCGCAAGAGGCAGAAGCTCTTCCTCCACTCTGCCCCTTCTGGACGGGTTGGTGGAGATGCTGAGGAGGGACATGGGGGACGCAGAGCAACGCAGGGGGCAAAACCGGGGGGGGGGGGCTGCCAACGGCCCCACTGCAACTGCTTTGCTGCAGCAGCTCAGCTGCCCGCTCGCCCCCAAAGGAGGTGCCCCCACGGGGTGCAAAGCGCCCCGTGAAGCGCAGGGGGGAACGCCATCCTGCACGGGCCTCCTGCCGCCAAACGCCCTTTAGGGCCGCCGCGAGCTACCTTCAGGTCCCTGTGGATGATGGGCAGCTTGCACTGGTGGAGCCTGGCCACAGCTTCGCAGGTGTCGCAGAAGATCTGCAGGACCTCGCTTTCGGTGAATCCTGTCTGCAGGCGCTGGTTCATCAGGTTCACCACCTGGCCTCCTGAAAAGCGTGGAAAGGGCGGGGCGAAGGAGACGGCCTGTCACCACCGCGACCACGGAGCCGCCTGTGCCATGAAGCACACAGACCTCAGGGACAGGCCATCCCGTTTTCCTCCACAGCCGCATGCTGGCACCAGAGCACATGCAACGGCACACTGCCTGAGCGCCCGTGGGCAGCATCTCCACCTTTCACCGTTAGCGGTGCTGACACCACAATTGTTTCGTCCCCGAACCGCACAGAAGAACTAGAGGAGGGGAGAGTTCTGCAAAGCTTGCTTCATGGTACAGGTGCGTTGCTGGAGGTTCTCTGCGCCTTGCCTCCGAGGGACCAGGAGGTCTCTGGCAATTTTTCCAAAGCAAACCAAGCAGGTCTGGAAAAAATGCCATCATGGATCGGATCTCCCTCCTCCAGCAGGAGTTACAGGAGCCAAACGACTGGTCTGGCGGGCTGCAGGGAGGGGTTCAGCACACCACTGGTTTGACCGGTACAAAATGGACACATTGTCGCTATCTCAGCTTAACAGCTGAAAGTGAGGGAGCAAACCAACTAACCAGGTAGTTTCCGATTAACTATAGTTTACTCCAACATCCAAATCAGTAACTGGGGTTAATGGCTTTGGAACAAGCCATGGTATGAAGCCAACTGGCTCTTTTCTGAAGCCCTTAACCATAATCTCCTGGTTCCATTACAACTGTAGTCAATGGAAGATTTCCTAGTTCCTCTCCACCCCCTTCCAGGGGTGCACATGAGCTCATAAACCAAGGCATGATCGTATGAACCAGCACGACGCCATCAAACGTTTGGTTATGTGGCCACCTGGGAACACGTGTCATACGACACAGGAGGGGGCCAACCCCTTTTGGAATCCCCTTGCGCTTGGCCTCTTCCCGCAAGGCGACCTGAGCCAAGAGGAGCCTGCGAACCCCTGTGGACCCCCCAGGCACAACCGGCCGCCCTTCCAGGGAGGGGTGGCTGCAGGGTGTGGAAAGGGCCAGGCGCGCTGGCCAGCGTTCCCAGCAGCCACCCCTCTTCCCCACTCGCTGGTGCTGGTGCAGCGGCAGTGAGGAAATGGCGGCGCTTGTGCAGCGTGTGGGGGCCAATTCCTCGCAAACGCCCAGCGAACGCCGAGCACGGGTGCCAGGAACTTAACTCTGAGCTGCTGTAAGAGTGCAGGACGCCAAATCCAGGGGCTCCAATGCGGCTTCCACACAGAACCGACTCCTTGCCTGTCCTTGCCATGCGGTCTGCCAACACAGCCCCGTGAGCTTTTACGCACCTCGGCAAAAATCCATCAGGATGAGGACCTCCCATACGTCCCCGCTGCTCACAGAGTTTATACTGGAGTCGATGTATCCGACAATGTTCTTGTGGCCCACAAGATCCCTCTGAAAAATGGAAGAACAACGAGGCACTCTTTCCTGGAAGTCAGGACTAGGGAAACCCGCATCCAAGGAACCCCACTGCAGCGCTACCCAGCGCCATGATGCAAAAGTGGGTGCTCCCACCTCTTCCGTGCTTCTCCCCACTCTCTGGATACCCCCTTCACTTCCGGAGGCCCAAGTACACTCGCTTTTCTTCCTACCACGCTTTTCATTGGCTGTTCTGTATTTCCAGAGCTCCAAGTCAGGCTTTCAGCTCCCTACCTCCATCCACCACAGTGACTCAGCTTGAGGAAAGAGCTACTTCTTTTCATAACTTGGGGCACAGTCCTTGTGGATGCCCAGAACCCTCCAGATTTCGGGAGGATGCCAGGCACGTTATGGAAGGCAGGAAGGGAGGGTGCTCCTAAGCATCTCCCCCTCCACAAGGGGGCTCCAGTTGAGAGGGACGGGGGCGGCAGCACGGCCAGGGCGCAGGATGTGCTGCCCCATGCTGGGGTGGGCTTCTCTCCTCTCCTCCCCACCCTCTGGAACACCCCCCAGAATCCCCATGACCTTGGAAGATTAGCTGCTGTGGTCCTTTCTGCAACACCTGTGAGGCAGGAGTGGGAACCTGAGCCCAGGCCCACAGGTATGAGGCCAGACTGATTCCCCAGACTCATAGCTGGAATCGGAAGAGTCCCATATGCTGCCTGGTGGCCGCAAGATCATGTTGCCAAAATGCCCGTTCGCTTTACCACGGCCATTCTCTTTCCCCGCAGCATGGCCAAAGAGTACCTGCCGAGCTTCTGCCGTGAGGACTCAGAGGCACGCGCTGCCGCTACACCGACTTACCATGATCTGAATCTCCCGTTTGCAGACTTGCAGGTCGTGTTCATTGTTGACATACATGCGCTTGAGGGCACACTTCACCCCGTTGCTGGTCCTCACCAGAAACACAATAGCAAAGCCACCTGCAGACGTCAGACAAGCAGAGGCACCATCAGTGACACGGGGGAACTGAAAGTGCGCGGTGCAATGCCGGCCCCGTATGCTGCCCAGATAGGCAGCCGCCTGGCAATTATACGCTTGTCACGCTGCTCTCTGGAGGGAGAAAGCAGCGACCTCCATGGAGTTTACCCACGAGACGTTTTTCCTTGTATTTCCACATGAGTTCATGCCCTGAACATGCCCCGTGGCACGTGCTTTGTCTGTGGACAGGTGATTTTGCCACATCTCTGCACTGGGGCATGAATGAATGAGCCACCCCAGACCTCATGCAAAGCGGTGTCAGGATTCCCTCTCCCGGGAGGAGGCTACCAAGAAGGCGGCAAAGCCAGAGGCTGAATTAAGCAAGATGCAGCCTCCCCGGGACTTGGGGCTCACATAAAGCTGCTATGCATTCAATGTTCTGCCAAACACTCGCAGTACCCACTGTTTTCCCCAACAGTTTGGGAACGACCAGTCACAGGACCCTAGAAGAGAAGAGTTGGAAGTGGATAAGGCAGCTATCAGACCCAATCCGCTGCTCAGTGCAGGACTCCAAGTTAAACCATCCTACGAACTGCTGTCAGTTCCCTCAAACCAGCATCAGAAAATCTTCCAGATTATTAAGCAAGCACCACAGTCAGAATACATGTACATTTTAAAACACTTTATGCAGGGTCTCGTGTAAACAACTGAGATGCTTTGGTGGCAGTAAACCAAAGGAAAAAGACAAAAGCATCGCTGCACAAGCTCTTCCGCAAGGAAAGAGCCAATCCCACGGAACGGCTCTCTCCCTCCCCAGAGCAGAGTAGCCATTAGCTTTCGATCCAGGGCCGCTACAGCTTGTGCTTCTCCCCACAAGAGTTACAAGCAAGAAGAGGGAGCAAAGACTCCAAAGGGGCAAATTACCAATCAGAACAATCAAAGTCGAGAACATAGCAATAGTAACAGGCAATTATGCAAGCTCATTACTGTGACACATGGTGTTTCCCTGCTCCATTAAATTTGCATTATGCAGTGATGCGTGGAATAAGCACACGCGACAACGTTGTCCACGCAGTACCAGCTCTCACGACAGTGACTTGTGAGACTCATAATCCTGCCTTTCTTTGAATCAAAACGCTGTTTGATCTCAGCTCCCCGCTTCACCCAGGCAGGCAGACGGGGGAGGCCGTGCCAGGAGACTTCTGAGAAAGCCCCCCTTCCTCAGAGCCCCAGCAAAAGCTACGACAGAGGCCCACCGGGTCCCGTGCGAGCCAAAGTAAGGCGACGATGGAGGGCCTGGGTCTCGCATCAGGTACCCCCGAGCGCATCGCCTCTGACCTCAATGGGACCGCAACTCACCGAACACGGCGGTTTCCACCCCCACACACCACACCCTCAGCGGCCAACCCCCACTCCACACTCCTGCAACTTTGTTCCGCGCTTACAGCATTCTGCTACCCAACCCAGGTGTGTTCCAAGAGCCGCCAACCAGCAAGCGGCCAGGGCCAGGCCGTGACAGATGCGCGTCCTGCGAGGAGGAGGAAGAGGAGCGCCCAACCGCAAAACAGAAATGCTGGCGGCAACTGTGAGCACGGACACACCAGCGCCAAGCAGACCAGCCTGCCGCCCCAACAGGGCAAGGCCCCCTCTGGGAAGCTGCTTGTCAGCACTTCCACACGGTCAGGATCCGCTCTCAGAGAAGCTCTGCCTCTGCGGCTAACGGCGCCGAAGCTCTCTTTTGAAGCAGGATGCCCATGGGCCACTGCAACCTGCCCCCACCGCACCACCACCACTGGCCAAGTCCGTCCCTGCCTCTCCCACACCAAGCAGGGTCAGGCCACTAACATGGATGTCACACACACCCCAACACAGACTTACTCATCTCGGCCGCAGTCGCTTTTCCTGGGTGAACTCCCAGGCCCATGCCCCTGGGAAAGGCAACTGCCAACCTCAGAAGCACGGAGGCAAACAGCAATTAAAAGACTGGTGAGCTACCGGGTGTGTCCTTAACAAGCCGATGTGCAGGCAGTGGCCAAACCTGCACACACACCCAGTTGTTTCCAAAGGGGCCAGGTCAAGGGAGGGGGGAAAGGCCCACCTGGAGAACAGGTGTCTTAACATCCTTACAATCAAACCGACACGAAGCACTCTGCACTGGTTCAAAATGCTGCAGGAGTTCCCAACTGGGCTCGCCAGCCAGCCAGATCACACATCTCCACAGCTGCACGGGCTGCTAATCTCATTCCAGGCTTATTTCAAGGTGTTGGTGATTACCTCTAAAGTCCCAAGCCAGATATTTAAAAGATCCCCCACTGACCTGCTCAGTTGCTGTGCTTCTCAGAAAATACTGTCAAGAAAAGTGCCAGGTGATGGAGAAGGGCTAATGTCCCCATCTTCAAACGGGGAAAGGAAAAAAAGAACCTGAGAACTGCAGGTCAGTCAGTCCGACATCAATCCCTAGGAAAATTCTGGGGCAGATTGTAAAGCAGTCGGCAAGCACCTTGAAAACAGCGCAGTGGTTCCTAGAAGCCAGCATGGATTTCTCGAGAACAAGTCCTGCCAGAGTAATTGGACTTCATTTTTTGATTGGGTAACCTCCCTGGTAGACTGTGGGAACGCTGAGGACACAATCTAGATTGACTTCAGCAAAGCTTTTGACAAAGTGCCCAATGATCTCCCAATTAGCAAACCAGCTAAAGGAGGGGCTAGAGGGGAAAACTCTCTGGTGGATGCACAGTTGGCTACCGAATCAGACGCAAAGAGTGCTCAACAATGGCACCTTCTCGAACTGGGGAGCAGTAACGAGCAAGTCACTACAGGGTTCAATCCTGGGCCCAGTAGTAAATTGTAATCCTACTGACAATTATTTGGTTTAGGTTTTACTGTACTAGCTAGCTGCCCTTGGCATCTTCTGGTAGAAAGACTGAGTCATGATGGGCACGATCCCATGCTATTTGGAGGGGAAAAATCCCCTTTCCCTGGCCAAACATGCCTAGGACTGCACCTTCAATAAATGATACAGAAACAAGTGAGGGGGAATATCAGGTCCTCCCACCTGCATCTCAGAAGAGCTTGGAAAGGCCCTTGCCTGAGCCGAGAGACACTTCTTCCAGTCAGGCTACCAAAGCAGGTACTTGGCTAGCTGGACCAGCGGACTGTCTCTGTTCAGCAGCTCTCCACTTCAAGGCCCCGGCACTGCCTGGCTTTTTCTTTCGCTCAGGCAGAAGGAAATACCTGGGCAGCATCTTTCATTTTACTTTTTGCATGGATGTGCCAAAGAGTTGCTACCAAGATTTTCCTCTGGCCATCTTGAAGGAACCAGCTTTCTCGACCCACTGCAGTGCGAGTTCAGACCTGGTTTTGGTACCCAGCTGGAGTCGCTTGCCAGATGGATTGTCTCTATCAGGACAGGGGAAACGCAACCCTATTACATGGGCTTAATCTCTCACTGGCTTTTGATGCCATTACCCGGATCATACTGGAGCATCTCTGAGAGCCAGCGGCAGGACACTGACCTACAGAGGCTCTGCTCGAATTCCTGAGGACAGCTGCATCCCGATGGGCTGGCAGTTACACCCCAGCCCCTCGGCACATGGGCCAGGGAGTGCCATGAGGCACCACCTTGCCCGAACGCTATTCAACCCCAATATGAAGCCACTGGGAAGTCCTGACGAGACCTGGAGCCTGGTGCCATCAGAATGCTCTGTTCTCTACAACATCTGAACGAGGACCAGCCAAGCAGTTTGCTGCAGGGAACAGCAAACTCGCAAGCAGCTGCTCTTGCGGGTGGGAGGCTCCCAGGCCTGGGAAGGAGGTAGGCTGGCTCTTCCGGACGAGGCTGCAGCCCCCCGAGAAGGCGGGATGTCATCTGGGGGCTCACAGAATGACTGATGTCTCTGGAGACAGAGGCAGCGGCTGTGAGCAAGGGGAGGCTGAGAGGCTTTGTCCAAACTGATGTTTCCTGGAGCCGGGCCCTGAGCCACCAGCTCAAGCAAACTGCACGCCGGAGCAGCCCGTTTCCATCCACGTGGGAATCGGGGCCGGTGCCTGGGTTCCTCGCTCCCCGCCCCCAGTACCCCCCCTTTCTTTCGTCTGAGTCACATGGCAGCAAATCTGATGGCAAAGGCAGTCTTTTTACACTCATCTTGAAGCTGCTCGGAGAGCTCTCCTGGCTGAAAAGCAGAGTATAAATGTTTTCAACAATAAGTAGAAGACGACTCTCGGCTGGCCTACATTCGCAATGGACCGGGGCTGCAGCTGCAGAGCAGGGAGGCGTGGCGGGGGAGGGGCTGCAGGTGAGGCGTCCGGCAGCGTCAGGTAGGAGGCCTTTGTCCCCACCTGCCCCTTGCCGCGCTCGCTCCCCAAATGCGCTCCTTTTGCTTTGCTATTTCTATGCGCACAGAGAGCATCCAGAAATGACACACATTCTCCCTCCCGAGTAGTCTGAAATGATAGTGCCCTTTCTATCACTTCATTCGTTACAGAGACATAAGAGGAGCTCCGTAGTTAATCCTAAATAATTCATGTCTGCATGCAATCCACCAGTATGAAGCCTAAACATTTGGAGATTTGGCTAAACTGCCTGAATCTGGGCAGGTTTTCTTGGGTGAAGTTGGCTTATTTTCCTTTCTGTACTTCCCAACAGCTCAATCTCTCTAGGCAGGTCACATATTCCCCATCTTGTATTGCTGCATTTGGCTTATTCTTCCTCGGTGGAGGACGTGGCACTTGTCCTTACTGAATTTCATTCTTTTGCTTTCAGCCCAGTTTTCAATGCTGTTGCCAGGCAAACCTCTCTGGGGAGCGTATATCAAATTTGGGGTGCCACCACAGAGAAGGCCCTCCTCTGGGTACTCTCCCTCCTAATCTCCTTCAAGGAGGGCTCCCAGAGCAGGACCACCACCTCAGATCTCAAGGGGCAGAAGGGCGCATAGGGAAGAAGGCGCTCCTTCTGGTCACAGCAGTTCATTCCCCCCTCCCCGCCAGAAAAATCTACAGCTAA